TGTAGCCTTGCCCTAGACATCAATGTATGCCGATTTTCGTAATGGTACCTTGTCAAATAAAAAAGTTTTCCATACAAGTACTTGAGTTTCTTTGGTCAGTTTGTATGACAGCTATATGTTATAGCTGTTCGATCCGAACACTTTCTTCGTAAATTGTTCCGCTGTCTGAGATAATAATCTGTGCTGAATTTCGTCAAAATACCTTGTCGTTTAAAAGGTTCTCCATATAAGCACTTGAGTTTCATTAGTCAGTTTGTATGACAGCTATGTATGTATATGTTATAGTTGTTYGATCCGAACATTTTCTTCCAACATTGTAGCAATTCCTAAGATAATAATCTTCACCAAATTTTTTGAAGTTTGCGTGTCAAGTAAAAAAGTTTTGAAGATAAGGACTTAATTTTGATCAGTCAGTTTGTATGGCAGCTATACGGTTCCGTCAAAGAAGCAGCAGCTTGAGAAGAAAAGAACAAATGCAGAATTTTAGATCGACATCTCAAAACCTGGGCGTCTAGTTCACGTAAGAGAACAACGAATAGACGGAACATAACAAAATCGACTTAGCTCGATGCTGAACATTTATATATCTACTTCATATGATCCGACGTTTTGGACATCGTTGCAAACGYAATATACCCTGTTTAGTTTAAGRTATTAAAAATCAAGTTTTCTGCTGAATGAATATGTGGAGAAATGAGTACTCTCCTTTTCATGCCGTTTTTAGGATTGTGCATCAATGTGTAGTGTTTGTTGGCACCTAAACAGTTTCTAGATCCACAAGCCGCTAACTCCTATATAATTGAGACCAAGTACATATAACCATATTATATTTCATATCTTATAAGCAAATTTTTAGATTTTCAAAAAAGTTTATTACCAAATAATCTTCTCTCCGAAAACTCTCTGAAAACATGCTTACAAAATATTTACAAAGCATTTGGTTTGTGTGTCGAGTGTGCAAATAACCTATATATACCATATGTATGTATGTGATATTCATTGTTTATCTAAATGTATTTATCTTTGTTTCAAAGTGTAGCATTGACGTCAATCAAGTTTGAGGGACAATATCTGTAAATATTTTTACTCAAAGCGTTAATGGCAGCTCTATTTCATTCACCAAAGCAGATAATTCAATAAAACATAAAAAATAAATAACTATTGGGTTATTGAGTTTAAAAAATGCACCGAAGAATGAATATATTGGCGTACAGCGCCGTAACGTGCAAAATATTTGCGATATTTAAGTTAATTGTAAACACAAACAAAGCAGGCCCGAAGGGGAAAGAGAAATTTAGAAAATTAAATAAGTTCTAAATATTGGAATTGCTAAGGTTGTGAGAGGGAGTGACGGGAGATTACGTTTTTAACAAGGAAATAAAATGCGATAGGGGTTTTAAAAACTATTAATAAAGGTTTTATGAATCCTAGTGTAAAAATTTTAAAATGTTTAATGCGATGGTTTTATAGAGGAAGAAATTAATTGCTTTGAAATTCTATTAACACCACACCGAAGCTAGAAAAACCGATACACCAGAAAATATAAAAACAACATTGTCTTGATTTTGAATTGTCAGTTTGTATGGCAGCCATATGCTATAGTGGTCCGATCTGAATAATTTCTTAGGAGATTGTAGCGTTAGCTTGGACAATAATCTATKCTAAATTTCGTCCACATATCATCTCAACTAAAAAAGTTTTCCACATAAGAACTTGATTACTCTCGACAATTTTGTAAGGCAACTATATTTTACAGAGTTCCGAACTGAACAATTCGTTCAGCGCTTATAGCGTTGACTTGGGTAATAACCTATGCTAAATCTCGTCAAGATATCTTGTCAAATAAAAAAGGTTTCAATACCAGAACTTGATTATTCTCGATAAATTTGTATGGAAACTCTAGCTTACAGTTGTCCGATATTGGCGGTTCCGACAAATCAGAAGCTTCTAGGGAAGAAAAGGACGTGTGCCAAACTTCAGAGCAATATCTCAAAACTTGAGCGACTAGTTCGCGTATATCGACCCACCTCGACACGCGAATCAACGCCTCCGCTGAAACTTCAAATACAGATTTAGAAAGAAGGAGGGTGTGTAAAGTTTTCGCATATACGTCATATGACGAACGACGTGCCGATCGCGAAATTCTTCAGCCTGCCGACTAAAATCGTTATTATGGCCATGATTATGGCTGTTTGTAATTGCGCCGGTTGCGTAGCGCGCGTTGGCAATAAGCCAACTACGTACATATATACATTTATTCATACATAAATACAATCGGTTTATATATCGTTGTACTTCGGTAAGTATGGGTGTGTTCCTTTGACGYACGTGTGCTTGTGTGCGTTTTAAGTGTGGCTTGTGTACTTGTTAATACGAACACGCGCAAGCTTCGCTTTTTTCACAATCTATTTTTATTTTCGCCGCTGCTTAACCGAATGCAACAAGATGTAGGCAAACACCGAATTGTTAATACTGATGACGATGAACAGACACACATATAAATGCATATACACACACATATATGTATAAATATATAATGTTACAGAGTCATACTTTGTTGCATGCGAGAAGTTGTTGGGAGACGGCGAGTGGGTAAACGACCAGCCATTGCGCAGCGAAGTCAAATTTAAAGCACAAGAAATAATAATAATAAAAAAGAAGGATTGCTTCAACAAAAGCGTGGCCCACTTGTATTGCAGACAGCCACGACGGCATTCGCTACACAACATAAACAAATATAGACAGCCACCAGCCGGCAATACGAGCCGCATAAGCGGGCAACAACGGCATTGTCGGCATGTGCAACAACAGCAGCAGCGAACGGCAACTGATCGGCGGCATGAGTCGCGCAAACTCAAATGCATTCATGTATGTATGTTGTTGGAGTTGTATGTGCATGCATGTAATGCATATGCACATATGTATGTATGTGTGCATAACTTTGCTAAGTATGTATATATGAATACGCAAACATTAACTGCAATAGCCGGCGATTTCACAGCCGTATTGTTGCTGCTGTTTTAATATRCATTTACMTACATACATACATACATACATACATATATACACATGTCTATTCATATACGTTCCTGCTCTCTTCATTTATTTCTTAGCTACTGACTGCCTCCGAGTTGTTCAATTCAATTACTTGGCCAACCGAGTTTTTCTTTCAGACAGCAATCAAAGCGTCTGCTGGAAGACATTTATGTGAAGAAATCTACGGCTGTTGTTCGAACTTTAATTTACGAGTGAGAGCGCGTTGCGCTCATAAAAATATGAATAGACCGGTCGGAGTCGGGGTATGTATGGATATGTGCTTTTAATAACGGCTTTTGCAATAAAAGGTTAGTCAAGGTAAATTTGAAGTGCAGCTGATTAAAGTGGAAAGCCAAGTTCACTTGCGGTCGGATTTTGTTTAGGTCAGATCAGTTTAAATTTGAAAGACTTTTGGCTTTTTTTAAGTATTAGGTTTAAATCAACGTCTCTAGCCTAGAAAGTTCATTATCTTTATTAGGTTTGGAGAAGTACACGTCGGGAACTTTGTATCAACTCTAGTTTTAGAGCTCCGGAATACTGCAGGTCATGTTGATAACAACATCTGATKAGTCGGCGTTACGAGTTTTCGAGAGAAATATACGAAGACATTGACATAGATCAGTGAATTAAGAGACAGCGGCTATGGATGAAAACAATCCAACTCTGAGAGTATTCTCCGCAGTACCCGTCAGAGAAAGAGGAAGACCTTTACTACTTTGAAAAGACCAGATGGGGAAGGGCCAATCTCCGGAACGCAGCCTGCTGGAGAGTGGTGACTATCCATTCCGATAATAGAGCAGCGATATTAACATTTAGTTGATAATCCTTGCCTCTAGCATCGAGTTGTTTTATGATTGGACTGGTTTTAGTGCCTAGCCACAGCGGCATTGCAGAAAACTCTAAAGGGGTTGAGCTTACAAGGACAAGAACTTCAGTCGCAATAACTGCGGAATGGGAACTGATACGAGCTTCTTGGGTGCAGTGGTTCACTACTAAGCTGTGGGGACTCAGCAAGCGTTGGTCGACTAGCAGGTCATAAGGTATTTCTGGCTTTGAATAAATCGGAAGAGGTCTGGAGCTCTTCGCTCTCAGCAAGGTTCACCCTTCGGTAGTTTTAGTAGTTTTAACTGACCCCTTTCGCCAGATCAAAGCAAAAACACCTCGGAACTCATAATTTTAAACATCTGAGTGAAAAGGGGAACTAGAAGYAAAACATCTAAGCAGATTTGTGATGGGTTCATGGCGTTGTTGCCGATAGCTGATATCCAACTACAGAAGTTTTTCGTTTGGCAGCACAATGGACTGTACATACTAGTTTGAGTCAAAGCAATGCTGAGCGTGTAGACACTTCGATCCAAAAACAGCAGACATCAGCTTCGTATCATAAACAATTGGCAGTTAGAAGAATATTGTCGAGCCCTCTTATCCTCTTACATGTTAAGTAAACATAATKTTGATCTTAGTTTTGTCTTTGCTAAACAAGGTACGTCGGCCGTTGGATTAAATTACTCTTCTAATCTAAGATTTTGTCTTTGCAGTGGTTAAGCTTACTACTTCCYGTGTTTAGTTCATTGAAATTAGGACTTACCATATATAGAATGAGCATAAGGACCGGATCTTAAACGTAAGTGCTGACCACTTCATTTTATTGATGGTCTCATCTAAGACTACAGAAGTAAGTACAAAATACTATACTTCACACAGATCCACAGTGGGGGAGTACCATAATTTAGTGACGACAGTCACTTTTTAAAASAATTTCAGAACAATCTTTCCAGTGAGTATCAAGGCTAGTAGCTAAACACGGAGATATTTGTACTTAGATAATTTTAATTACAGAATATTTAATCATTTATCGATAAGCAAATAGACTTTCGATCTAGGCAAGTATTATTAGTTTCATCAAAAATATACGAAATATAAGAAATTTTAGTTCAATGGACAAAATTTATTGGTTGACTCACCTATCAGTCTCTGTTTCTGCATTCGGTTGTGTTTGCTGTGGTGGCTGTTGCTGTTGTGGTAGCTGTTGCAATTGTTGTGGTACTTGCTGTTGCTGTTGTTGTTGTTGTGCCGAAGGAGTTGGCTGTTGAACCGGTGACGGTTCTTCGACTGTAGTTACAGTTGCAACATTATTGCTGTTGTTGTTATTGTTAGTATTGGCACTAGCATTGTTCATATTATTAGCACTATGAATTTGTTGCTGTTGATGCAACAGCAATGTTTCATTTTGCAAATTCGCGATTGTTGTTGGATTGGTTATTTGGACATTGTCAAGCGTTACTGGTTGTTGTTGTTGTTGTTGTTGTTGTTGCTGCTGCTGCTGCTGTTCATGATGTGCCTGTATAGTGGCTGCCAGAACTTTAGGATCAGCAATGGTTGGCGGAGCACTTTGCATTTGTTGCGACAGCTGCTGTTGTTGTTGCTGTTGCTGACCCCCCGACTGTTGTTGCAATTCATAGTTTGTCAATTGAGTAACGATGGGCATCGTTTGACCAGCTGGAGCTGATTGTTGGTGTTGATACTGTGGTGGATGTGTTGGTTGCTGTTGTTGTTGCTGTTGCTGCGACTGTGGCTGCGCTTGTGACTGGAACTGGAATTGTTGTGGTTGTGTGGCTGCGCCATCGATTTGCGATGTCGGTGCGGAAGCCGATTGATTTTGTTGTTGTTGTTGTTGTTGTTGCTGCTGCTGCTGTTGCGATGATTGTTGTTGCTGAAGTTGCATATTCATGGCGTCGTTGGCCAGCATTTGCGGAGGAGAAGGCTGGTGTTGTTGTTGTTGCGGTTGTTGATGATGCTGCTGTTGTTGTTGCTGTTGTTGTGTAACAGCGGATTGGAAGTTTTGCTGCTGCTGTTGACTGTAGTTACCACCTTGCTGTTGTGCTACATAGGCTGTTGGCATGGACTGTTGTTGCGAATTGTCAACCTGCTGCATGCTAACAGCACYGTTATTGTTTTCACACATGACAACGCTGCCATTATGAAACTGTAAATTACTAGGAAGTGTCTGCGGCTGCTGTTGTTGCGGCTGTTGCTGTTGTGCCTGTGGTGGCACATAAACCGTACCAGCTTCCTCGGAAGCGGCAATCGCTTCTTCCTGTTTCTTTAGTTGCTGCAACGATTGTTGCAATTGCTGTGCGACAACTGTTGCATAGTCCATTGGCAATGTTTGCCCGTGGACAACATCCTGAGTGGCTCCACCGACACCTGTATTGTTGGCATTCGCATTATCAGCATATACTTGTTGTGACTGTTGCTGTTGTTGCTGCTGCGTATGTCCCTGCTGTATGCCGGCTGATTCGGACATAAATTGTTGCATGCCATGTACTACCGTAGCCGGTGCGGTGGCAATACCAGTTGGTGCAGACATTTGCTGATGCAGCTGCTGAGCTGGAGAGCTGACGCTTCCATCACCTTCACCAAAGTTCCAGTTATCATCATTCGCAGCATTGGCCACGGTGCCGCCTCCAGTAGTAAGTTGCAAACTATTTCCAACGCCATCCACATGATTTTCGAGTAATTGGGCGGCGCCCGTGCCAATTATCATACTTTGTGTAGTCTTTGCCGGTTCGCTGCTGCCGCCGCTACCCGATTCGGAGGAAACAGTCTTTTCATTATTGTTGCCACCGCCGCCCTCCTTGCCGCCGGTGCCTACAGTTGAGTGATCGAGATAGTCCATGCACATCCAACGTCCACGGCGGAAGGGCTCAGTCGACTCGATTTTAACCACCTTGAAACGTTCGCTACGATGCTGCGTCTCTTTGATGTCGTCCTTCTTCTTACTGCCGCCTGGTGTGACAGCAGCGCTCACCACATTTATAATGTTGTCCGAAACATTGACCTGTACATTTTGTATGGTCTGTCCGAGCGATGGTCCAATGGGATCTACAACAACGAGACCATACTGTGAACTGGTCGGTATCACCGGTGCTGTAGTGCTCAATGCATTATTGGAGAAATACACTTCCTCTTTGGAGAATGTATCTTCTGACATTGAAGGTGTCTCATTTTCGAGATCGGTAACACGACTATGAGATTCATCTGTATGGGATTCATCCAAGTCGTCAGCCGATTCATCGCCATTATCGGAATTCACCTTGGGATGTCCCACAGTAACGGAAGTAATCTGAAAAGATGAGGTCGTCTTTGGTTTTTTGCTTGGCTGCGAAGCGGCAGTATGGGGCTGATTGCCGCCAGCGCCATTTACACCACCACCACCTCCATGGCCATGACCGTGATGACTGCGGCTTGTATTGGTGCTGGCCGAACTACTGCCACCACCATTATTGTTTGGCGATGTGACTTTCGTCGATGTCGAAGCCGTAGTGGCTGTTGACTGTGGTGCAACTGATGTGCTCGAGCTGGTACTGTTATTAGTCACATTCGAGTGAATGCTACTATTGCTGGTCGCATTTGAAAGGTTCGTATTGGACGAATTAGCGACCGAACCAGAACTACTACTGCCGCCATTATTRCCACCACTGACAGAGGCGTTGAGACGCAAACTCTCACTGGTACGACGATGCACTGCGTTAGTGGTGCCGCCACCACCACTACTACCACCTGTTGAAGCTGAATGGTGATGATGATTCATGCTGCCGCTGCTGTTCACATTATGATGGTGCAGAGACGAATGATGGGCGCTCTGTGAATGATGGTGATGATGACGTTTGTCCGACGAGTTGGTGGCTTTCGCACCACCACCGGTATTTGCATTTGATAGCGATGTCATTTTAGTCAACGGCGGCTTCTTAATCGCTGTGGTACTGGCGGCACGTATGGGAGCATGAGACTGTATTGTGTTGCGGCGCTGTGCTGCTATGGTGCTACTCTTAAAYATATCAGAGAATTGATTATGATCCATTATGGTAAGCGAATGGCTTTGCTCGGGATGCACTTGATTTGTATGATGCTGATTGCGGATGTTGTGATTGTGCGAATGATGATTGATGTTGGGTGCAACAACGGTTTGGGTGTCTTCGGGCGATGATGCGGAATTATTCTCTTGTGGCGGTGTTGTAGGCGATGCGAGTGCAGAGGGAGGTGGCTGATCTTGCTGCGGCGACTGCGGCTGTTGTTGCTGCTGCTGCCCTTGCTGCTGATGTTGCGATTGCTGACCGGAATCTTCCGTGGCGGTCTGATTCTCGGCCATAATCGGGTTTTTCAAGGTGCGCAATGTCTTTAGCAGATAATCCAGGACGAATGATTTTATTACAAAGAAACCGTATCCAAATGTATAAATCTGATCGAGTTTGTAATATGTTTAAGGTATAGTTTCGATTATATGCGGCTGCCTTAGTGTAATTTGCTTCAAGTTAAGTTTGTTTATTTAATTCACCTATTTGCACTTAAGCTTACGACTTAATTACTACTAAATTCTATGCGTTATTTATATATATATATGTATTTTTTTTTAGTTAATTTTGAATCGATTACTTCTGCATCAGTATGCAAAACACACGATTTTTATCGATTTTTCATTCACTGTTGCTAGGCTCTACTTCTTCGTTTGCTTTTTTATTTGCCGCTGCTTGTCACAGCTTTAAAATTGTTGTACACTGTTAAATTTACATCAACCAACTGGACTGATTCGTACACAGCGCTTTTGCGAATTTTACAATTGGTTGCTTTTTGTGATTTTCCTAATAGTTTGTCTGCTTTTTGTTTGTGTTGCTGTTGCTGCTGCTTTATCTGTATTTGCAATTGTTGTCAGTTTTATTAGTGTCGCTGATGAGGTCGCGCTCAGCGGTAACTGCTTTAAGAATAGAAATTTAAATTAAATTTAATTGAATTTGATCATCAGTACAAGTACGTTGCATTTCATAGAAATAGATCAGCTCCAAAAAAGSGAAGTAGTAACGAGATATACATATATGCAATATATTTATACCCTGGGTATATTTTCATACGCCGAACAGAGTATATTAAATTTGCTATGAAGTTTGTAACACGCACACATTATGGTTTAAGGCAAGACTGTAATCTCCAAAGAAATTGTTTAGATCGGATCACTACAGCATTTAGCTGTTATACAAACGAAACGATCGGAATGAAATGCTTATATAGAAAACTTTTTCATTTGACGAGTTATCGTCACGAAATTCGGTAGAGATTACTATCTAAATTAGAAATGCAATCTCTGAAAAAATTGTTTTGATCGGATCACTATAGCTGCCATACAAACTGAATGATTAGAAGCAAGCTCTGGTTGAGATCCTTTTGTATTTCTGAATGGTATTATAGCTTCGCTGCAAGCGAAGTTAACTTTTTTCTTGTTTTTAATAATCTAGCTTGAAAACTCTTCAGATCGGCACTTTTCAGAAGCGCTTATTCCTCAAAGACCTAAATTCGGTTGAATCGTATAATCTATTTGCCAGCGCATTTCATAACTCCTCATAATGACCACCTAACAACCTAACCATCGAAATTATATTTTAGTGTTCTGTTGCTCTTTTGCTGCCTTCGTGAAAAAACCCTCTCAACTGCTTCCAGTTCCAATGACACTTGACCTATGTCTGTGAAACGCAATTTCCCACTGAATTTGTGTCTATTCATTTATAGGTTACTGTATTATAACAGAGATATTTGGTTAGCTGACGTACGTCGTAAGGTTGACAAAGGCGCTGTGCTCAAAATGGCTATAAAAACGACTACGATTTCAGCGTCTAAAGTCCCGACCTGGGTTTGTTCGCGCTTTAGTTTGATGGCGATATAGAAGCGGTTATAACTCGTCTCACGTTGGGCGCTGTCGTCGACGTGCACTGTAACCGCGACGTTGACAGTGACAGTGGCTATTGCCGCTAATATTGTTATTACGCTCGTTTAATTGCTAATAGTGTAAATTTTGATTTTATTATTATTATTATTGGTTTGTTTATTGTTGCAGTTTTCTACAATACTTTTGGGGCTACCACTATTGGGTTTGTCGTTGTCCACATGTAAACCAATGGCGACGTTAGCGATGCGACGACGTTGCATAGTGTGGCGTTGCCACAAGCATTGCTGTTATATAGACACAATTACTGGATTACTGGTATAGTAAAGAAAATTTTATATAAGTTGAGCACTTAATTTAATATTTTTGTAACCCGAGTTCATCGTGGTTTACACTTTAAACAGCCACTCACACACATCTACCATTAAGTGTAGCACTCTCACCTTGATCACGACGCTCTTGCACTAGTTGACTTTGCTTATTCTATTCTTGTTATTTGCAACATTTTCACAAATATTTTCTTTTAATTTTAAATTAATATAAATTTGCATACTTTTAAATTATTCATAACCAAGCAATCTAACTTATGCTATTTTTATACTTTTTTTTCTTATTTTTTTTTTTTTTTCAAGCAGTAGAACACATTCGTTAGTTGATTTTTTCTCTTTTCAAAACATCGCGGTTTATGCGTGAACAAAGCACCTCTGATATTTACGCACTTCACTCTTCGCACTGGTTGGGTTGTGGAAGGTAACTTAACGAAAAAAAATATAAACTAAAAGCAAAACTCAAAAAATCTTAGTAATTTTTTGCTTTTGAACTAAACATCTATACTTTATGTTGTTGTGTTTTAGCATTTTTTCACGAACTGAAGTAATAAATTTTTGATTTATTTTACTCAAGTATTGAATTTGTTAAATTTTTAAGGTTGATTGTTGTTGTTGTTGATTAGAATATTAATCTTTTAGCTAATTATTCCATCACACGTTTTTCAAACAGAGGATTCAGTTTCCGCTGAAATTATTCCTGGAATGAAACAGAGCAGAGAATAAAGCGTAGATCAGTCAAACAGTTTCTTAAATAATCAGTTTCTATTGATCAAAGCGACATGTTAGTTAAATTTTCATGCGATTCTGATTCGGCATTTTAATGTATTTGCATACATATGTAMATACATACATATGAGTTTATGTGTGTGTGCGCTGCGCTGCTATTGTCATTGTTGTTGTTTTTAACTGCGTAGTTTGACTTTTTTTTAGCTAAGACAATACATATTTTAAATAACGCCTCGTCGCAAGATTCGCCGCGTCYTATGTCCATCAATAATACCTAAGCAAATATATCGGTTATGTTTGCACGCTTCGCTAAAAATATGCTATTTGATGCGAGAAACTCATTTCTGGTTTCATTGCGGTTTGCACTTAACTACTTAGTGTGCAAATATCTATTATAAACATACATACATATTTGTGTACGTATATACAAACACYCTGTTTCATCAGTTTAGCACACTACAGGTTTAAATAGTTTTGGTTAATTTCCAACAAATTTAAATTATTATTAATATTAGCTAAAATTCTGAAATTATGAGCGATTATTATCAAATAATTTTTATGCTGCTACCACAAAGTATTATATTTTTCAGCTGTTTAGTAGGAGCTTTTYCTGAGTTTCGAATCGTTTAGCCTTTTCTGAGCACATTTGCTAAAATAATGTATAACATTCATATGTATATAGGGTAGTCGAAAAAATCTTTTCGTATTTTGATTCGTATTTAGATGTTGTTGCATTCGATGGTCGAACGATTGATTCCGCATTTTACTTTCATCAACTGATGAGATTGAAGCTAGTAATCGAAAAAAACGGCCAKAACTGATCAACCATCAGAAAAAAGGKGAAAAACGGTCGAATAAAATGATATATATATTTGGTTATTATAAATATAAAAAAATAAGTTTTCGTTTGATTTAAAATACGAAAAGACTTTTTCGACTGCCCAATATTTTTAATGCCATCAGAAACAAGAGRTTTCAGCAATCATAAGATCTAGTCACATCAAAAAAAAATTGAAAATTTAACTTGAAAAATCTGTTTTTTTTTTGTTAATTGAATAAAGGTAAAGAGTTAAAATATTCTTTACCAATGATCGTTCATACAAAAATTAGAAAATCGGAATACAATAAATTAGCTAATAAAGGTGTGCCAACCTGTTGACACGCAGTGTATGTATGCATATTAAAAAATCGCATGGCATGTACATATATATGTTTGTTGTTGCGGCATTTATTGCTGTTTGTTCTGTTTGATTTTTTCGCATCTTTAACTTATTTTAATTACAATTTTTTTGTTTCTGTTTCGCGATACATACAAAAGATGACAAAAGGAGAGCTGCCAGCTGACGAAGTGTTGGTAAGCTACTGACAATAGTAAAAATTAAGGTTATGTTAAAAGTTTTCTTCGATTATCGAGGTATGGTGCACTCTGAATTATTTCCGACCGATCAAACTGTCAAAAATGAATAACATTTGAGTGATATGCGTCTTTTGTCTGATACCATTTGTAAAAAAAATGCTGATATCAAAAGYATCGTCCACAGTGAATTTGTCTCCCCTCAACAAACCATCAACGTTAAGTTTTACGTGGAAGTCCTGAAAAGACTCAAACGAATGGTCAATCGGATCCGACAAGACATCGCAGTCGACTGGAAGTGGCACCACGACAAGGCCCCGGCTCCAAYGCTTCCRCAGCCGCCCTTCGGCCCAGATGTGGAAAGCCGATGAAAGGCAAACATTATGTGTCGATAGAGGGGATCCAAGCATGATGCACCTCGGCTCTCAAGGCTATTCCCGAGAATGCCTTCCGTGAYGCTCGCAATGCTTGGAAATCGCGCTGGCAGCGTTGCATGGACGCAGAAGGAGCCTATTTTGAAAGTTTGTATAGAGTTTTAACTGTTGGTTCAATATATTTTTTTTTATTATACAATCTGTTCAGACAAAACCAAGTTTTTTATGGAGCTTTTTTATTTGAATTCTTTTCATTTCTTAAAACAAAAACTGCATTTTGACACTGCATCCAATGAAGACGAGGGACCATATGAACAAATAAAAGTACCTTGTATAAAAACTACAAGTGAAATAATAATGTAAAAGAATAAGAGCAATCAAGCAGCGCGCTACATTAACGCGACCAAAAAGAGATACCAGCGAAGAAAGGAAGAACGGAAAGTTTGTGAAAGAAGTAGAAAAATTCGACGACTTGAAGAAATGGGAGGCGTACAGTAGTAATGYAGCAGTTTGCTTTTCACAACCGATAAAGCGAAAAAATCGATAGAAAGCAAAAGAAAAAGTGTGCAGTTTCCTGTTGCTGTTGCGGCATATACATGCATACAATAACAACACACATGCAGAGGATGTAGGGGCACAGCGAAGTGGGGTGTGGTGGTATAAACGACATGTTGTATGGAGTTTGGCATTCGCGTTGGAACAGCTATTCTTAGGTGGCAAGTAACSAGCTGTAAGATGAAGGTGGTGGTGGCGTGGTTTAAGAGTTGTTGTTATTGGCCGTRGTGTGGCTTTACAGCTGCAGTTGTTTATTGACGTATTTGTGTGTGTGCATCAATGTATGAATATCGTGTTGGCAAGTGATGGGCAATGAGCAATAATTGCTGTCTGTACAAATTGGCATTCTTCACGGTTACTAAATCGACGAACACTATTATAAGAGTGGAAGCAGAGAAGGCGTCGGTTTGGTAAAAATACTCGCATAATGTGTATGCAATTCTTTCGCAGTGATAAAAACGCACGAGTAAATAAAAAGCGAAACATTTAGTGACTGACAAACAACTACTGYTAGAATTACATACGACGTTAATATTGATAGTAGGGTTGGTGAGACTCTCAAAACTAAAATTTTTTCACGCTTATAAAATTGACTAGCGCCTCAATTTTYGAGATAATAACCTGAAATTTTGCACCCTTCGTTTTCTTTCTCAGCAGCTGCTCACATGTTGGAAACGATAAATATATTGGGTACCCAATATATTGATTAGTCGAAAAAGTCTTTTMCCATTTTGTCAATAGATGTCGTTGCAATCGTATATCTCCAGTGATACCACTCACATTCATATCAAAAAAAATGGGAACGTTGAAAAAAAGTTGCAGCTGTTTAAAAATGAGTGAAAATAATGAAGAAATTCGCCATATTTTGAAATTTTTTTATAAAAAAGAGAAAAACGCTACGCAAACCACCTATGAAATTTTTGCAGTTTACGCAGTTCGTGTAGCACAACAATGGTTCGCTTGCTTCCATTCTGGAAATTGCGATGTGAAAGATGTACCTCGCTCCGGTCAACCTATCGTTGAAAACTCGATGAAATTATGGAAAAGTTTGAYCAGGACCGTCACATWAGCAGCCATGACATCGCTAAGGAACTTAGCATTTATCATCAAAYGATTTTGAATCATTTGAAAAAGGCTGGCTATGAAAAGAAGTTCGATGTTTGGCTACCACATGAATTGTCTGTGAAAAAATTAAAGGACCGAATTAACATCTGCGATTCTTTGTTAAAATGAAATGAAATCAAAGCATTTCTGAAGCGAATGGCAAAACAAGACGAAAAGTGGATCAAATACAACAATAACGTGCGAAAAATCATGGTCCAAGCGTGGTAAAGCTCAAAAATTTGTCGCAAAGCCAGGATTGACGCCTCGAAAGTTTATGCTGAGTGTTYGGTGGGAGTGGAAAGGAAGCATCCAGATTCTTCAGCCTGGCCGAACGATTGATTCTACATTTAGCATTCAACAACTGATGCGATTGAAGCATGCAATCGAAAAAAATGGCTAGAAATGATCAACAGAAAGGGCGATGACTCGGCAAAAACTGCGAGTTCGGCTGAGAAGTTTTGATGCATCCACCATATAGCCCTGACCGTGCACCAGCGGACTACCAATATTTTCGTTCAATGCAGAACTCCCTTAATGGAGTAAAGTTCRCTTCAAGAGAAGCCTGTGAAAATTAGTTGTCGCAGTTTTTCGACGAGAAACAAGAAAAATTTTACACTGATGAACAATGGCTTTAGCGGAAAAAAGTGGTTGAACAAAATGGCACATATTTGGTTCATTAAAGTTCTTAAAAATATATAAAAAAAAATAAGTTGAAGTTTGATTAGARATACGAAAAGACTTTTCCGATTACCTAGTATTTTTTTAATTTTAAGCAGAAAATGTTTGCTCACCACCAGACACCTTTTTGGGAGAGAGCCTCCTGGAGGTAGACTACGAAAGCAAGGGAATCAAACAAACCGTCGATTATTAATGTACTGAATTCTAACACTTTAACACAATTAAACTCTAATTTCAAACAAAATGACAGTCGACTTTTTAATCYTTTTCAATTAAAAAAAAATTACCACCCTAATGTGTTAATACTAGAAAGGTATGCTGAAACTGCAACTTCGGAAATGAGTCACTTGAAAACAATTGTCTGTTTTGCTTTTGTTACTTTTTGTTGTGTTTGCGTTTGATTATGCACTTTCTGACAAATATAAAATCAATTTTGATTATTTCTGTATTTTGTCACGAATGTTATTGAGTGCAATGGCCATGAAAAAATTAAGGGAAATAAAGAAGTAAACAGAGGAGGTGCAGAATAACAAATGTTTTTAGAAAATTAAGAAATGTAGCCAATAAACGTTTTTTTTTTTTTGGTTTTATTAGAAGTGCGTGTGTAAATAAAGAATATTAGATTAATGAAAGCGATATAAAACAAAACGAAGTGATATCAGTACGCAAATGCCTGAAAATAAAAATAAATACATAGATGCATACGTATCTAAACGGGAACTAAGTGTAGTCATATTTTTAGCTACTGCGCGGCTATTAATTAAAAAAAAAATTGGATCGGTACACGAAATATACAACGGTATGTAACCAAATAACTAATGCACCATGAAAGCGGCATAGTGTGACGATGAATAAGCGGTGATAAACAGAATGGTGAACAATAATAGAGCAAATGTTTGAAGAAGA